GCTCAAAGTCCTCCTCTGTGGCCTAGTGAGGCTGCTTCTCCCAGGAAGGGGGGGGGTGTCAAAGAGTCCGCCATCGAGTTCATGTCAAAAACAGTCCCTGTTCCCCCTATTAGGCTAGCCACTTGGATACTGAGCTACCAAGGGCTACATCTGAGCAGGGGCTCTAGGTTGCATCCATACATGGTCCTTGTTCGGAGAAACAGTCTCATAAAAGATCCCTGTGTCCAGACTCTCACCCCAACAACATTAATTTCTACTTTGCAGGCTGAGTGCTAGCTACACTTTCTGCTACAAGGTTATTATCACAACTAAGAGCTCTTTAGAAGAATTAAAACTTTTAAAGAATTGACCATGACAACTCTTGTTTCCAGTGTACCTGTATTTACTCATTTGAACAATGACTGGATTAAGAAACAAGTATGTGGTATCTACTCTCTCTTTCCACCTTTACACGGGATCTGGAACTCAAGCTCAGGGGTGTATCATCTCATGGCAAGTGCCTTTACCACAGGACAGACAGGCATTGGTTCCTCCTCGTCCTCCTCCTCCTCCCCCTCCTCTTCTTGCTCCTCTTTCTCTGAATTCACATTGTACCACAAATGTCATAGGTGGTTTTATTGTTGTTGTTTTCTGTTGTAATTTGTTTGAACCTGAACACAAATGAAGTCTATATGATAATTTGTTAATGTGATTTGTCCGTGCTAATTTTCAGATTTCCCCTTAAATATTTTGTTTGTTTTGGTTGGTTGGTGCAATATTTATGTTGAAGAGGCCAGGCAATTTGTCTTACAGAGTTTCTAATCAGCACTCTTTATAAAGAAATCAAAAAAACATGGAAAATCAAATTGTATCTGTCAACTGATCATGGAATCTATAAGATTGAATGTATAATACAAAGTGGTACCTAAACAGCTTTTCTAGGTACAACTACGAGAAAACAAATATTTATAAAAATTAAAAAGAGCCACAGAGAAAATCATATTCAAGCCCTGTACAAATTTAAATTCCAACAGAGAACACCATTGCCTACAAAGCTGGCATTGTGGAGCTGTAGAAGCAGAAGACCTGGCAGATAAGAAGAAAACAGCAGTAACAGGTCCCTAGTGCTGGGTTTTCTGAATATGAAGGGTAAACATGCCATGCATCTTTAAGAATGTGGAGGTTACGTGAGAGAAGAGGAGAACTGAGTTTTTACTTTTTTCCTTATACATAATGCATTTTATCTTATGCCAACGCTTACCAAAGCATTCTATGGTAAGGGGTCAGGCTAGGAAGTTTCCTGCCATTTGACCTAAAAATCAGGGGACTTCTGAGGGACACTGATGAGACGCTGACTGCTGACATTAGTTTCGTAATGTCTGTCACAACATGAAAAGTATTCACTTAACTGACATAAGACAGATTCAGATCAACAGAAACATACATAGATTTCTACGTGCCCATGCACGGTAGACTACAAGGATTGAGAGTATTCAATCATAACATACTTACATCAAGTGGAATGAGAAACCTTTCCAATTGTGGGAGAATTCCTTTTCTAAATGGCCCTATTGCAATATAATTTACATTAATTACATGACCTTAAAGTACACAATTCTGTGTTCCCTACTAGATCTATAGGATCATGTATCTATCACCACAATTTCATCTTTACCCTAAAATAAGTCCCTATCCATCAACCATCACTTCCTACTCTCCATACCTCATTGCCTAAGCAACCACTTACTCTCTTCTCTATTAACTAGCTACACACTGTTTTAGATCGCCATAGCTAACGCATCTCGTTGAAATTCCTTTTATTTCATACAAAGTGGTACCTACACACTATCATAAGAACAAGAGTGACTTTGAGCTCTCAACTGCATTAATTGCTATCCAATAAAGAAAGATGTAGCAAAATAACCCAAAGAGATGTTACGGAATCTAGCGACATGTGGTAGCTGAAGCCATCGCCAGGCACTGCTGCCCAGGAATGACAGAGCACGTGGTGTGGCTTACCATAGTCCAATTGCTTGTCATTTTAAATTTAAACTCGAAGCAGGCATGACTTGCAGAACAGTCACAGGAATACTAACATTTGCAGCCAATTCAATTTCTGACTTCACTACTCACCATTTGAGCAACTCTGGACACATACAGAGATCGTGATAAAGCAGGCTCATGAAGGTAGCCTGTAGATACATGTATGTGGTGCCTTACACCTAAGCTTTGCAAATCAGTGCTCAATAAATACTTTTTTTTTCTTGATCAAATTCTAAAGTAGAATTCTTCCCTACGCCAATTTACCCATGCCACATTTGCTTGGTGTTTTCAAAATCTCTATGCAAATTTTCTCCTTAAACAATAAATGGGAAATGAAGATGCTGCGATGCTGAAAAGACAGCACTGGTCAAGTACAGCTGACACTGGAGCTGTAACCCAGCCTTTACCCTAGAGCCATGAGTTACATAAGTAGCAAAAGTGCTCATTTAATTATGTTCCACTAGCACTCATATAGCAGACTTTGCTCTTCTATGCTAAAAGAAAAAATTACAGTGGTAATAAAGCCTGGCACCATGTTATCTAGAAGAATAAAGAATAGCCTTGAAAACTACATATAATCTGTTAGAACTGAAAATGTTTAGCCAAGCCCCTAAGAGCAAGCGTCGAAATCTGTGTGAGCTAAAGTGGTGATTTAATTTTGTGTCCATACATGTAAGAAAATGTAACCCTGAAGGGGGCCAGTACCTTCCATATTATGCAAGAAGGAATCAAAATGCATTTGCTTGTAATACTGTTTTATAATTTTACTTCCGGAGTATCATGTATTTTCTGTCCTTTTAAAAAGTGTGCTGTTCAGTATTATTATGTCCAATCAGAAAACTCATGATACACAACATTTTCATACTTGGGAAATGTTAACACGTTACATTCCTTGCTTGGAGACATGAGAGAATTAATCACAGACAACACCTTTTCATTTTCCTTTGACCCATGAGACCATTTCAGTGACGTGGTTTGCATGTAACACCACTTGGGGTCCTAGAAGCCTCTGCATTGTCCATCTGTGTGTGTGTGTGTGTGTTTGTGTGTTCACACCCCAGGCTCTCCTCCTCTTGGCATCATTTTGTATTTGCATGAGAATTCATCACTGTTTTGCATGGAAAGTCATCTGTGATGCTAAAAAGAAGTGTCTAACATGGGATCACACACCATTAATTCTTACATGGTATTTTTCTTTTACTTTCAGTTACTGGGATTTAAATCTGCTTGAACTGTAAAAGCAGCATGGCACTGGAGTGACGCAAGAATATGTAACGTCCCTTTAAGGACAATATGGGGCACTTCCCTGCCTTGTCTTTGGCTGCCAATTCTCAACTGCAAGTTCTGAAAAAATTCTATGAGACACACAGGTGCTATCTGCAGACTAAGTTCCGAGAAAGCAGTGCTTTAATATGAAATCTAAAACTTTTCCTGATCTGGTATAAAACTAAGCTCCTCTGACATTGGTGTAAGACATTTCAGGACTTGAGTGTTTTCTGAATGGAAATAGTCGCCAAAATTGATATTTAATAGAGGAGCACAAGAGTACAAAACAAAAGCCTTATTTGCACCTTCGGGTCTTTGGTTGGTTGGTTTTTGGTTTATTTGGTATTTTTTGTTTGTTTAGTTGGTTGGCTGGTTGTTTTGGTTGAGCTTCTAACTAATATGGGCACATGACTAAGTCCCACCAACGGAACAATGCTCACCTCTCAACCGGCAAGTACTAATTTCCTCCAAGCTGCATCTCTGGCTGTACATTTGTTCCTGCCAGTGGCCAATGCTAACCCTGGTTTAGAATTCCCCTTTCCCATTGCCATTGGCAATTCAATTTAAAACATGAACAACAAGAAAACTTGTTCCATGGAGATTTTTCTAGCATTTTTAATCAGCTAAAAGATCCAAATCAGTCAAGTACAGATGATAATCAGGCTGAAGAGACATTTCTGAAACATTTTAAAATATGAAATCAATAAGACATTTCACAACAAATAACCCCACAAAGCATTCACGTACCAACAGTCACCATGTGAGGAAGTCAATAAAAATCTACTGAACCAGAATGTGCTAATCAATGGAGTTAACAAATTTTATAGCTGTGCTATCTATATTTCAGTTATAATCCAGCCCTCTTTAAACTAATAGACAGCTTGTACGTTAAAGGCATTTGGTATCTGGTATCCATCTTTATATTTTTTCCCCTTACCAAAATGTACAATGGTGACTGACTATCACGAAAGCATGCATGCGTAAAGTAAATACAGCGTTGCCAGCTTCTGGTTAGCATGCTGGCTATCACCAAGGAACTATGATACTGCCACTGGACCCCACCTCTCTGTGCTTCTCCATCTAGACTGTAATGAGGGTGTGAGGCTAAGTTATCTTTTGAATTAGAAATCTCACGCTATAATTACCAAATATCCTAATACCACATGCTTCCCTGTGCAGTCTGAGTTAAATCCAAGCTGAGATAATACAAATTCAGTATTAAGATACCTAGACAATTGGGGGGAGGGGAAAATGCCTACTTTTTCTATAGTCATTTTATGCCTGACAGTGATAAAATGAGAATTGTACAGCATAGCGTGCGGATACCGCCTCGCACAATCTCAACACCTGAGTGTGTTGACTTGCAGATGAAGATACAGAAGTTAAGATAGATCCAGTTACTTGTCAAGGGTGATGGGCAAGCTCTCACCCCAGGACAGAGTCTGGATCTTCTACCTTAAGACATTCTCTGTCACCACTGATCTGCAAAGGCTATTTTGACTGTAAAAACCACTTTTCCCAAGGTGTCATTATGCAGAGTTGGCACTCCTTGAAAATCAAGTCTGCCTCTAGAATCCTCCAGCACCTTTGTGGAATGTCCGCTTGCGTCACTACAGCTCTCTGCGCTTTTACAAACTAGTTGTTCTGTCAGCATGAGTGTGACAGCAATTAGACGTCCCCTGTTTTTGCCCCATGCCTTTTCTCCTTCACAGTCATTCAGTGACAAGCGTAAAAAGAGCTTCATCTTTTCACGAAAATTCCCATTCTACAAGAACAAGGAGCAGAGTGAGCAGGAAACCAGTGATCCTGAACGTAAGTAGATTCTCGAAGATAACGCCACCTGCAACACAAGAAAAAAAAAAAAAAACCTTCACAGGCAACACGCACAGCAGGCTCTCCCACGCCACACACCTAGGCAAACGACATGGCAGGCAGGCAGGGCAGGTTTTACTACTGTGACCAGTGTTTGACTGCAGTCTGGATCCTCGGAAGGGCCTTCCTGAGGCACACAGCACTAGAAGGGGCCTTGACAAAGCTGGGGCTTCAATTCCAACCAGCATTTCTCTGCGACCAGGAACAGGTCTGGCTTGATCATGCAACTCCCTAAGGCTTGAGGCAAATCTCCTTTCTACCTGGTCATATTGGATTACTTTGCCACATATGTATGTTGTCTTGGGTTCGAGCTTGGTGCATTAGTCCACTCTTACCCTCCAGAAAGCCATTAAACACTGAGAAGGGATATTCGTGGACACAGAATTTGTTATGAAATTTGGAGTGGGGACATTCTTCACAGTGAACAAAATTACATTCACTGAGCTTTTCCCCCCCCCTCCTCACAGTCTCTGGCTTCAACCTTTTCAGTTGATTACAAACCAAAAATTCCCTTTTATTAACTCAGTTCAGGGAGTTTGGGGTGAATGTGATTTTTCAGAAGGTAAGAGAGTGGGATCCAGACTGCTCGGGCAACACGGTCTGTCATGGTAGTATCCATTTTGACTCCACTGACTTCTACCTTCCTCTTCCGTGGCTGTTCTTCCTCTCTCATTGCTCTCTCTGGGGACTTCCATGCAGGACATCCCCGGATTAGGTGACGACGGTTATGGAACAAAGACTCTGAGTAAGTTTCCAGGAATGGTCACTGTTAACTTTTCCTTTCCTTTCCTTTTGAGTTTGGCTTTTGTTCCTTTTCTTGAGGGCCTTTCATTCCTAGCATGCACACGATACGAGTTTTATTTGTTACCTAGCTGTGAATGCTCCTACAAAATAATTTTTCGGTCATTTTGTTCTGCATGTCAGCATTTCAAAGCAAAGCGTGTCAGGCAGTCTAACTCTTGCTGCATTTAACACCTCCCCTTTCTGACCGTGTGATAATGGCCGACATGGTCTGGATGTCCAGCATGGCATCACTTGCTCAGCCACCAACTTCCTCTCAGAGAGCAAGAGACCATGTTGAAATGAAAGGGTGAGCGAAGTGTTCTAGAATGGCAAAGTAGAAATAGACTTTATGTTCTCTCTTCTGCCTTTTCAACAATGAAAGATATAATGACCTTGCCCAATTCTATAACTGAGCTATTCTTTGCTGTTAATAAAGGAGCTGTTTCATACTCAAAAGCAACATACATTCTCAAAATGTAAATATTAAACTATCTGAGCCTTAGTTCTTTGTTATTAACTTTGACTGATTTTTTTTTCTCTGACTTGCAGTGGTCCTGCTTGAACCATTTGTATGATAGTTTTAGATAAATATGAATACCTTTTCTTATCAATGAGTTACCAGCTATATTGTGTTTTCAGAACTTCATCTTGTAGCACAGAATGAAAAATAAGATATATAAGCATTTTCAGCTTATTCATGTCTTTGGTCTATGTCTCGTTGCACTTAGCAGTTAAGAACAAGTATCTATGTCTCGATTTTATGCTATGATTTTGCTTTCTTTGATCCTCACCCCACTCTGGAAGCACCAATGAAATAAGAACAGAATGCTGTATCTTTTGCGGATGTATCACATATTCAATTTTGTCCTGTTCGTTTTAATGTAATAGCTACAAGGAAATATTTTTAGTCATTCATTTCATTTTATAAAGCAAAAATACCATTGAGTTGGATTTCACATTCAAGGGCTGTTTACATAAGCCTGTGCATTTTCAATAGCTGTTGACATAAGCCTGTGTGATGATGCCTGCCTTTCAGGGTTCAAGTTTTGACTCTCACCGGCCTGTTTTAGGCACGTAGCTGTAGAAAACAAAATCTGGTTGAGTGCTGCTCTCCTTAAAGATGAAAACTTTATCTTTGAAAGACTGTATAGAATGTGGTATAAAATTTAAACATCAATTTTAGAATCATCTGGAAGGCATCAAGCACCACCTGGGGGAATTTATGCTTTCAATTTGGAAGGGAAGGGATTGTTTTAGCATATCGCTAATAGCAAACATCGTTTTTTAAAAAAAAAAAAAAGTATGTAATGCCCTGTTGGGTCCAGAATGTCCACATGTTTGCTTACTCTTTAAAAACTGAACAGATCCAATTGCTGAGGGGAAAAACAAAAAGCTACCCCCTACAACACAGCTTCAAAGTAGGTAAGACATGGATGTCCAACGAAGGTGCCCTGCGCTATCAGTCACATCTTCACTGTGGGCTCATCCCGCCCTTTCCCGTGAGTCCTTGAACTTGACAAATGTATGCCCAAATTAACAGCAAAGCTCTTTCCATAAAGTCACACAGAGAAGAATGGTTTGTGCTATAGAATCAATCCCATGAGCAGGCAAAAATGTATATCAAAGCATTTTAAAGCACTTTGGGGTTTTTTTGCTGTTGAGAATAATGTATCTTTTTTCTCTCTCTCTTTCTTAAGTATTGCCAAATAGTTGAAAGTGAGGTAGTCACATATATATCATTCCAGTACAGTAACATTTGAAGTTGATAAGTTTTACACAACTGACTCATAAGCTGAACGACATACATGCACACCTCTGTTGTGTTAGCCAGGTCCTTCAGGATGAGTTAAACATAATTCATACCAGATCCTGCCCTGGATATCGGGCCATTTCTCTTCTGCCTGCTCCATTCTCCCAGAATTTAATAGCTATTCAAGCAAGGATCATAGAATAAAAACTAAGTCATGAACCATTTCTCAGGGACTTCCTGCTTCCTCCCATATTTCTACTCACTGAAGCAGGAAAGAGCTTCAAGAATCTCTTTAGACCTGTGGATTCTCTTGCAAGGATTTAAATTGAAAATAAAATTTAAGGGACTCCCAAGTTGGGCAAACTTAGCCTTCCTTCCAAATAATTCAGGGCTAAAACAGAAATACCGAGAATGGCCTACATTACAGTGGGCACACGCTGTCCTTCCCTGTACCACCCAATGCATGTGTCATAGTATTTACAGAAAGAACATCACCTGGGTTGTTATTGTTTGATAGTGAAAGGTACTTTTTTTATTTGATAAAAAGGAAGGAACAGCAGTATCGTGTAAACTGGCAATAAAGTTTTCATCTTTCTCTTCTCTGGATTCTCTAGTGCGAGCTCTTCTGCGGCCTTTCACTTGCCTTTGCTCACATTTCCAGTAGCTTTGCATGGGTGTGTCCTTTTCGTTCTGGCTGCTCTCTGATGCTTGATCCTTCTTTAATTTGCTGTGCTGTCCTTGCAGAACACGTCTCTTCTAATGCCAGCGATAGCGAAAGTAGCTGCCGTAAGTTCCTGCTTGGGCTTGTGGATCTTTTCTTTGCCGTTGCCCCCATTGCCTGTGGTAGTCATTTCAGATTCTTTTCAACTGCTGCTTTTTTTTTTTTTTTTTTTTTTTTTTTTTGTCATCCTTCTCCAAAGCAAATGGCTTGAAATGAAATCAGCATTTGATGTGGAAAGGTACAAATGACACAGGGGCCATCAGTGGACCCTGACATGATTTGTGAATGCAAGCACAGATTTTGTAATACTAATTCAAACCTCAGCTGGTTGAGACCCCATGGTGGAGGATTTGACATTCTATCACTGTAAATCAATTTAACCTCTCTGTAGGAGGAAAGAGAGTCATGATTCTATTCTTCTCCTTTTGCCTTTTCCCTTCTGCTCCTGGAACAGAAATATTTCTAAATTACAGTGTTCCTTCTAAATCAGGTGTCTTTTGTATCACTTTCTCCTTGATTAATATTTTAAGACACATAGCTTATCTATGCGTCTAACCTTACTTTGGGGAATAGTTGAGAAATTTATGAAAATGCTTCATCTAATGCTGAAAGAATTTTTAAAACTTTTTAGGTCATTAAACATAATCAAAAAGGTAGGTGACTATTTTTAAATGTTCTCCGGTCTTTCTTTGGTCAAGCCATTTGCTTAGTGTATGGAAATATTCACCAAACGACAAGCACATCCTTCTAATCAGCCCTCATAGTTTCTAGCTGCCTACTTACTGGTCTTTGGTGACTGATATAGGTACCTGTTACCACTGAGGTCCTTATGATGTCTTTAATTTTAATTTGCACTCCTTAGCCAAACAGGTTACCCAAAAACAATTTTCAAGGGCCAATACCCACAGAATGACCCACAGAAATAAATACCAATGCAGAAATTGGTATTGTCTTTTGCTTGAATATTAATTGAAAAGTAAAGTTGTTTGGGGCATCCTGTCCCACCCTGCTATAGTATGATACATTATAGAGCCATGCTTTTTGAGGCAGGGTGCTAATTAGTAAGTATAATCTAGAGTTTGAGAAGGGTTTTGAAGAAGGAGGCTGGTGGTCAGTAGAAAACACACACACAAGAGATAGATGTCAGGTAACAATAGGGTCAGGGAAGGAAAGTGACACAGACCAAAGACTGAATTGACAAAACTGTGATATGAGGCCCAGGCAGACTATTAAAATCGCATGATTGTCATATTGATGGAAGTATTATTACAGGAGAAAATTCCATCAAATCTCGCTGATGGAGGGAGTCAGAGTTCTTGTGCTTAACGTGGTTGCACTCTTCCTACTCTTATGATCAACCTCACATTAGGATAAAAAATATTGCCTCCCCCATTTCTCACTGATTTTCAATTCAGAAAGTAGCCAAGAAGGAAGGGCCATAGCTTATCTCTCTGATTCCATGAGCCACCCTTGATTTTTCATACGGAGCAAAGCGACCTGTTAGTTTTCATGAAGATCACTGACACTAATTTCCTTAGTTTTCAGTTTTCAAGAACTCTTCTCCCATTCAGTAGACACTAGAGGAAAGGAAAGTGGCGTGCCTTGTTCTACAGTCCTCTTCATGGGGTGTATCTATAGTAACTACCTTCCCCTTTGGAAAATTCCTTTTTTAGCATACCTTTCCTA